ATATATATATATATATGCGTGTGTGTGGAAATAAGATTTAATCTGCTTACTTGTGAAATGAGATCTTTTCCTGTTTCTCCTCTACTGATATTCTACTGATATTTTTATATGCATTAGTTATCTTATATAGCTCCTCTAAAATAATATTTTTGTTAATGTTAAGCTTTTATGATTTCTACATCATCAGTCCTTTTTTGTGCTATATTGCCGACATGTACAGTAATTATTAATCCAGACTTTTGCATGTTTTACTTAGCTCTGTGGTCGACTCAGTCCAGCTGTTTCTATAGACSTCTATGGTGAAAGCACATGCAGGAGAAAAACAAGTCACATAATCAGTTCAATAAAGTAATGGGTATAAGCATCTTCCTCAATTTCTGTTTAACAAATGTAGCTTTTCTTTAAATCTGAACTTTTGTTCCCCTTATGGTGCGTGTGAAACCTATAAAACTTGTCAAAACCAACAGTCATCTAATCAGATTTCCTTTTCCTTACTGAAACCAGCTACAAGCACACAGTCAGACATTACTGCCTGTAACTCAGAACACATGCAAAAACCATGTACCAACAATACATGTAAATCAATCCATTTCTCCTTTCACAAGGCTAATTCACTTGAGAGATTTTACTTTTTTGATTTTCATGAACATTTTAAAACTGTGACAAGACTAAAAAAATAATTTAAAAGTACAATTCAAACTGAGCTGAAACACATTTGGTCCATTAGAACACTGGATGAAAGAGTCAGAGGTATTCAAGTGTATTTTTAGTGAATACACAGCAACTTTATCTATTAACATAGATATAACACATCATTAACATATCAACTATATCCAAAGAGCAAGAATGACACTTTTCTCGAAGAGAATGGGTCAACATTTAATTGAAAAAAAACAAAAAAAACAAAGATTTTGGTGTAACTTTTGCAAAGACAACAAGAACATTCAATCGGTAGTGTTTTTTTTTACCTGAGAAATATCTTAACAATAAACCAATTAAAACTGTTTTATTGACTGGTCATGCACTTGAACCTGTTCTTAAAGTAATATATTTCATTATGAAGATTTTTATCCACATCAACAGGTGAGTATCGATACTTTTCATAAGTCTTTTGTGAGTCTGTTTTACTCCAGGGCATGATGATCTTGGATGCGTGGTTTATAATAATATCACTGCAGGAGCCGATGTGGAGGGAGCCAAGTCCATCGACAAAAAATTCTGCAGTGACAAAAGGAAAGGGTACATTTATTTCAATTTATGATCAGAAATTCTTCAGCAGTATGTACAAAAGAAACAAAGGGAAAACACACACACACACACACACACACACGGACTAACCTAGATGTGCTGCTCGTGACAGACGGGGGTCAAAACCAACATGTCGCACTTTTTCCGTCCGAGCCATGAAGAAGTTAATAACAGCATCTGCTACTACACATTTGGGATATCCTTCAATAGCATGATGGAACCCATTTCTGAAGTTTAGGCAGTCTCCATCCGATCCCCCTTCCTCCACTGAAATAGTGTGACGATACGTGGCAGTGTAGCCCGTYACTTCCCTTACTGCACCACCAACCTACAGTCAAGGCAAGAAAAATACTT